CTTAAGGAAGTTGTACTTTTTACCATGTATATCATGATTCAGACAATAACTCTGAAATATATTCAGTGACCTTTATTGAAGACACACGAGATGATTAGTGAAAACAAAATTGCATCTGTCTTCTTCTTTTCTTAAAAAAAAAAAAAAAAGACGAACTGTGACATCAAAGATTTCCATAAGTTTTTCATAATGTTTGGGTGCACACTCACGGACCAAACTTAAGGAAGTTGTACCTTTTAGAATGTATATCGGGATTGAGACAATAACTCTGAAAGATATTACAGTGACCTTTATTGAAGACACACGAGATAACCAAGTGTGAACAAAATCGCCTCTTGTCATAAAAAACAAAACAAAAAAAACGGCGATATCATAGTCATTCCACTTCCTTAAGTTTTGTCCATAAGTGTATATATTCTATATATATTTGTCAATATATATATTATGTATTATATTATATATAAATACAGTAGAACTACCTCCCTGTAAAGAACAACACCTAATTACAGAGCCAAAGTGTCCTTTAGAGAGATGTCCTCTTACTGGAGAGTTGCTAAATTGTAAAAATGGTAATTTTGACAATGGAAACTGTCCTTTGTAGAGAGGTGTAAGGAGGTTCTACTGTAATAATATTTTCTATGTTTTCCATCGTGATATACATTCAACATGTAAACTCTATAAGTAAAAAGTTCTTCCCCTAATCTAGCACGTTCAATATTTGATTTGCATATAAAGGATAAAAACACTGTTTCCCAACTTATGGCCTCAACACGAACATTATATAAAAGCCATCGTACGACACTCACTAATTGACATTTCTGTTAATTACTTAATTGATCGACGACCTCATCAAAGTTTAATTTAATTTGTGGCGAAAATTCTGCTACCCTCAGCGCTAGCCTGTCTCCACGCCAGTTTCCATCACAAGGCCTAACCAGTGAAATAACACATCTAGTTTGCATAGTACACGCTATTCTTACTTTGGAACATCAACGTTTTTGTGAGAGTTGAAAGTTTTTGACAGATTTTATAATGAATTCTGGATTGCTAATGGACTCTGTTAGGTTGATCGAAGGACATATTGGATCAAGAAGACATCCTCGTGCTATATTTATGGACATCATCTAGAGACATCGGCCTGCCACTGAGTGTGTGACGTTTCGTTAACAGTATTGTTACCATCTTCAGACAAAAGACTGACACTCACTTTTGTCTGAAGATGGTAACAACATCTTTGAAATCGAAGCGTCACACACTATTATTTGGATTTGGTCTTATTACCTTGTGTTTATAATCTATAATCCAAAATGTGCCTTATCAAACAACTATACTAATAATTAAGAGAAAGGCATACTGAGTAGTGCTCCCAGTCTTAATGACAAAGGCAGACGCATTCTACTTCACCCAGTCATGATAGTTGTCAAACAGATACCATCAAGGGTCACAACTTGATATCCTAATATGATTGAGTGGAGATAAGAGAGAAGAAGACCTGGAGACAAATGGATTCTTAAACATTTTAGCATTAAAGTTTTTTTACGTATAAAACAAATTTCTATTGTACTTACTGTGATGAAAAATATATTGGGAGGGCTTAGCTCATTAGTGGTGAACCCTCCTAGCGGTTTCGCCAAATTTCAATTCAGAATCGTCCAATACAGTATTAAAGATCTAAAAAGCGGTCTGGTAGATTAAATTGGCGAAACTGCTGGGAGGATTCACACCACTGATAAGCCAAACCCTCCCAATATTTTTTCATCGCAGTAAGGGCATTAAAAGTTTATTTTTTTAATAAAAAGAAACTTACGTGCTAAAATGTTTACTTTTATAATGTATAGATGGCGCATTATTACCTTATAATAAATTGATTTTTATAGTTTTTGCCAAGATAGGAATCAAAATAAAAGTTCATAGAGGATTTTGACATTAAATTGTCTGAGTATTGTTGTAGAATATTTTGTCTCTCAACAGCGCTTAGTCATTTTGTTGCTCTACATCCTTCTTTCATTGCCTCTCCACTATTTTATGTAAATATATGCTCCAGGAGCTTGTGTTAACAAAATAAATAACAATAAGCCATATACACTCATGTGAACAAAACTTAAGGAAGTGGAAAGTCTTTGATATCGCCGGTCGTCTGTTTTTTTTTTTTAAAGAAGACAGAGGTAATTTTGTTCACACTTGGTTATCTCGTGTGTCTTCAATAAAAGTCACTGTAATATCTTTCAGAGTTATTGTCTGAATCCCGATATACATGGTAAAAGGTACAACTTCCTTAAGTTTTGTTCACACTTGGTTATCTCGTTATGTCTTCAATAAAGGTCACTGTAATATCTTTCAGAGTTATTGTCTGAATCCCGATATACATGCTGAAAGGTACAACTTCCTTAAGTTTTGTCCATGAGTATAAATCCTCCATCCTATATAAATGGTGTTGTTAATAAAGATGAGTTAAAAAAATTCCCCCATCTACCAACGACCCGGGGAGCTATAAAAAAACTACCACTTGCAGAAGTAGACAAGATCAATATGTAGCTGGTGTCATAACTGCCAACACAAAATTTACTCCTCTCCTAACTTTTCTTCCCAAATTTACGGCGGCTATCTCCTAGCTACCTATTATGGAATGTCAGATGGGAATCTCCCCCCCACACACCTTCTGTAACCAATATCTCAGACTTAACTTACTTCTTTATCATCTTAGTAAATTTGCATCATATTCTTGTACCGTGTAACGGTCTGACAGATTCGTCTTCCTTAATTTTCTCCTTCTCAGCCATGTCTTGTATCTTTCCAGAGCGTATTTCAACCATCCTATAAGTTTATATAAGTCAATAATGACAGAAAAAAACAAACAAACATATTTTTTAGATAGAACTTAGAACTAAGAATAAAAAATATTTTTCACATTAATGTTTGAAGAGGTGTACAGCCACAGTATGGCAATATACACACATAGACAAAACTTAAGGAAGTTGTACCTTTTAGCATGTATATCTGGATTCAGACAATAACTCTGAAAGATATCACCTTGACCTTTATTGAAGACACACGAGATAACCAAGTGTGTATACACTCATGGAGACAAAACTTAAGGAAGTTGTACCTTTTAGCATGTATATTGGGATTCAGACAATAACTCTGAAAGATATTACAGTGACCTTTATTGAAGATACACGAGATAACCAAGTGTGTATACACTCATGGACAAAACTTAAGGAAGTTGTACCTTTTAGCATGTATATCGGGATTCAGACAATAACTCTGAAAGATATTACAGTGACCTTTATTGAAGACACACGAGATAGCCAAGTGTGTATACATTCACGAACAAAACTTAAGGAAGTTGAACCTTTTAGCATGTATATCTGGATTCAGACAATAACTCTGAAAGATATTACAGTAACATTTATTGAAAATACACGAGATAACCAAGTGTAAATAAAATTGCCTCTGTCTTCTTGAAAAAAAAAGAAAAAAAAAAAACAGACGACCGGCGACTTCAAAGACTTTCCACTTCCTTAATTTTTGTCCATGAGTGTAAACAAGATTGATTTATAGTTTGTGTTTTATATTTAAAAAATTGATAATTTAATATTTAAAATATATGAAAAATAATATTAGAAATTATTGTGAAATATTTAAGCATCAACAATTAGGCAAGATACTGGTATATTTAGAGATGTAAGATTGAGTAAGCAACAAACACCCAGCAACCTCGAATTGTAAAAAATGGAAATATTCAATGCGCTATTGCTTCCCTCACCTCACAATTCAATTAAAATATATTTCTTATACCAACTCTACGCGGAAAAAAAACAAAAAACGCAGTCGACAGGATTCGAACCTGTGCGGGAAGATCCCAATAGATTTCTAGTCTATCGCCTTAACCACTCGGCCACGACTGCATAAAGGAAAATATCTCGAATTCCTTATGAAACCCCTTTATATACAAACATGTCCACCTTCGTCTAATCAGAAAACGTAAGAGATCAGTTCACTAAACAACATTCTTTAGACATAACTGATAAACTGTTTGTCAAATAATTTGAGATTTGCTTCAGTGATGTTGTTGTTGTTTCTTATCCCCTTGTGTAAAGATTACACGAATTCCATGAGTTCATGATCTCATGGAATGGGGTATAGGGGTGCAGCTTTCGTTGATCATGGCACCATGATCTAGGCACACTTTGGTGGAAGTCTGACTGTAATTTGAGGCCGTTCCTAACATGGAATCCTTTACTGCTGACTCTAACATGAGTACAGACACAGCTCTTCCATATCCCTGGAGTGGGACCATTGCTGAGGTCCATCAACCGGGTCAGTTGAACTCAGGATTTTTAAAGAATGATACAGTGATATTCAGTGATACCCAATGTGAAACTTCAAATTTTTGTCAGAAGACGGAAACAATAAAGAAGGGATGCAAATTTGGCTTATCATTAGCGATATTAAAATAACTTAACGCCTGAAGGAACATTGGATAAACTTTTGTTAAAGATTTGAAAAAAAAAAGCTATAAAATAAATCATTTTAATTATTTTTCTACTAATTAGAACCCGTGGGATAAAAATTGATTGATTCTTAATTGGGTAACTTTCATTCTTTAGATGGATATTCCACAATTTGGGAACAAATATATTGTCACATATTTGCATATCTATTTTACAATTTGCTATGTAAATTTTCAAAAAATATTTTTTTTTTATTTAAATAGTAGCCAAAAATGTCTATATACTATAAATTGACACAAGGTAATAAGACCAAATCCAAATAAATAAATAGTGTGTGAGAATAACTTCTTAGGTCCATTGAAGTCTTTAAAAATGATAAGGCACAATTTGGATTATAGATTATAAACACAAGGTAATAAGACCAAATCCAAATAACAACACACTATTGGATTTGGTCTTATTACCTTGTGTTTATAATCTATAATCCAAATTGTGCCTTATCATTACTATAAATTGACTAGGGGGGTCGGTGGAAGGCTGGTTAAACGTCCAATGCGGGAATCGAACCCGGGTCGTAGTGGTCGAAAACCAAATGGTTTAACCAGCGAGTGCAAGTAACCAAACGGGGCTCTGGCACATTTGTCAGTGCAAAGTCGAGTTGCTTTTCACATGTGTAGACATGTGGTGCACTTAAGCAGTCGCTAACTACCCACCATGATTATCATGGCCTGTACCACGTGTACTAGGGATAAGCAAAAATATATATAAAAAAAAATTGACTATGTTTTGGCATACATGTTGAATAATCTTTAGATAAAAAACTGCGCTTCCCGTGATTTGACAAGGTCCATGGGGCTCTGATTCACAAGAGTGGGATACAATGCAATACAAGAAGTATTTAAAAGCGATCACCTTTGTAATGATTCAATAAAATGAAAAAACAAACGCCATATATATTGACGCTTCAAAAATTTTTATTTCTTCATTAATATTTTGATTGAGAGAACGCCGATCTTTTTCAAGATGCTGTTACGCGTTGTATATAAATTCAAGGGAACAAAACTTAAGGAAGTGGTTGATCTTTGATGTCGCTGGTCGTTAGTTTTTTTTTTAGAGGAGACAAAGGCAATTTCGTTCAGACTTGGGTATGCCGTGTTGTCTTCAATAATGGTCACTAATATCTTTCAGAGTTATTGTCTGAATCCCGATATACATGCTGAAAGGGATAACTTCCTTAAATTTTTATCTATGAGTGTTTTTTTTGAAGTTATATAAATCCAATATAAGTTTAAAAAAACAACGAAAATACTACTTTTTACACGGTTTTCCAAATAAGTTTTTTTTTGTTTTTATCGCACTATACTAAATGCTACTGTGATTGAACACATGCGCTGTGTACACATCTCACGAGGAATCCCGAGCTTATGTACTGACTACATATTTTAACCTGTCAATGCATTTTATTTTTATTTCTGTGTACACCTATCCCCCGATTTACACGTTTTTCTCAGGAACGTATCTACCGTGTAAATCAGGGGATAGGTGTATTTAAAGAATTAAAAAAAAAAGAACGAATGAATTTCGACTTTTTATAAAAATATAAATCGAAAAAGAAAAAAAATTGCCAACAAAGAATTCCATAAGAAAAAAAAAAACCTCCTTCGACCTTTCACATAAAATTCCATATTTTTGGAACTCTTTTAAAAGTAGAAAATTCAATAAGAGAGTTCTGAAGAAAGCTGTTGTCTTTAATCCAATTTGGAAGCCATAAAACTTTATAAAATAACGCCGATAAATTCGTTAGGCATCCCACTTTCCCGCCATTTCTTTTAGAAAAGTCTATTAATAACTTCACACACAGGGTTGCCAGATTATACAAAATTTAAGTGATTTTTTTCCTTTCATACATAATGAAGTTATTTTTTGTTTGTTCAATCTGATTATTTTTTTCCTTGTTTGGCTTGTCGTCGTTTTTTTCCCCCATTAAAATTGAAATTATATATAAAAAGTAGAAATTGCTTTTATATATATAATTTTAAAAATTATTTACATAAATATGCTTTTTTTTTCACGTGTACGAGAAGTATATATATAGAAGCATAGGGCGCTTCTCCCGTCAAAATAAACGTCAAAACTTGACGCCATCTATTGACCGTCGCCGCAAATAGGGGCCTCGGGTCGGTGACAAAGCCACAACACCAGTTTGGCAAACTGAGAAGCGTCCACCTAGAGACCATGGTTTCGGGCTAATGGCCCTCGTCAGTCTAGGGCGGACTTTATTCCATGAGATCCACATGGGATCTAATGGAATCTTCACAATCTACCAAAGGTATATATATATATGTCGTAATATTTAGAAACATATATACATAAAGTGGTTTGTGTGGGAGTATGAGGAAAAGGAAGATAGAATAGCCGGGTCAAAACAAACCCCTTTGGTCACCAGATGTCCAGACTTCACTCCAACTCCCCCTGGGAATGATTTATCCTACTCAAAGCAGTTTAAAAGCAGCTGGCTGTGATAATCACAAGGCACAGTTCACACCAAGGTGGTCTCGACACTAGTTGTTCCCAGGGTGGACCTCGGACCTTCTTTCTTTCCTCCCCGATTTACTCCCCACGGGTTTTTGCCTCTGGATCCTGTCTCCTATATGTCCTTAACACTTTTCACACAACTACCAGGACTGCTTCACAAATCACCATGTATGTAGTAATATATGTCAATATACACTATATTTGCATATATGCCATAATTATAAATAGTGTAACAGCCCTAAAACGAAGATAATCTTAAACGCGTTAACTTGGCTATCATGTAATCACAATTAAGACAATAAAGGTGTATTGAGAATCAGCCAAACCCAGGCAAGGCGAGGTCCAGTTCGTTGAGATTGCGTCATTTCCGTCCGGGGAACATCCACAAGTCATTAATGAGTTTTACGACCAGCCGCCGGACATTAACAGATCATCTCTCCCACTCTTGCATATCACACCCCCCTGGACCTTGGTGCGTCTTCGGTCGCTGGCCTCTCTTAAGCACCATCCAACCTGCCTCGTCCTTTGTGTTAACCATAGACGCTGAAACCACTTGGCCCATGACTGTTAGTGCTTGTGGAACGGCATAAAAACTGAATATTTCCATGTGATTATTTTAATAAATCGAAAATAAAATGTCTATAGTTATGCTTTTTTATCACTAGGGCCAGCAATGGTAGGGCAAATAAATAAATTTGATTGGTTATTTTGGAAACTAAAATTGTTTAAATGATTAAGTGCCGTAATAAAACCTGGTTGATAAACAACTTAGTTAATACATATAAATAATGAATAAAACGGCTCCCGAGGGTGAGCTTTCGGGTATCAGAAACCCTTCTACAGGAGTATTGGCTAATACCCTGGCAAAAAGCCGAGTTCATTCGGTTTGTATATGTATATATATATAGGGTCGTTGAGGTACAGCCTACACCACGCTGACGAGGGCCAATAACCCGAAACGCGTTCGTTGTTGGTTTTTCTTGAATTATCAAGAAAATAGGTTGACGAAATCTCATGGAACAATTTAAATAAACTTTTATTTTACGATGCACTAGCGCGCCATCTGTTATCAATTATCAGTTATCTGTTATCAGGCCCTCCCTTTAATTTTTCCATTGCAGTAAGGGCAGTAGATATTGTTTTATTTTAAAAAGAATATTACGCGTCTAAAATAGTTTTGTAATTTGATAACAGATGGCGCGCTAGTGCATCGTAATATAATTGTTTGAATAAAAGACACAAATCGATATTTGCGGAAGAGCGATTGCTCGAAGCATATTATATATTTATAATTATATGTAATTCTGCTGTCCTAAAAGCTTATATGTCCATAGTTCATTTAAAATACCCATTCGAAGAGTCAAGCATCAGTATCACTATAAAAGGAAGTTCCAAAAATACAATATAACAGCGGTATGGTAGTTAAACTGGCGAAACCGCTGGGAGAGTTCACTACTGATGAGCCAGGCCCTCCCATTAATTTTTCCATTGCAGTAAGGGCAGTAGAAATTGTTTTATTTTAAAAAAGAATATTACGCCTCTAAAATAGTTTTGTAATTTAAACTTTTATTTGATTTTTGTTTCACTCGATGGTTCTCTGTCATTTAAAAGCCCATGTGAACGGTCAAAATATAACTTTGTGGTGTTGGTACTTATACATAGTACACCATAATAATCATGGTGAGTAGTAAAACGACTGTTTTTACTGTGAGTGCACCACATGTGAAAAGCGCAGTTCAACTTTTACACTTACTAATGTGCCAGAGCCCCGTTTGGTTACATGCACTCACTGGTAGGGTTGGACTTTTGAACGAATCGGGGGCCATTGAAACAATAAAAAAAAAAAAAAGTGTCCAATGCGGGATTCGAACCTGTGTCATGGCTGTCGAAAATCAACGGTTTATACCACTGCTCCACCGCGTGACACCCCTCAACAATAATTCTATATACAGTTACGAGCGTCATTCTTCATCTCCTAATCAATCAACTCTGTCACCGTTTGCTTTTTTTTTTGGAATGGCGCCCTCCTATTGGTTGGCTACGATCACGCCACCTTTGCCCCCCCCCCACTCGCTTTTTCGTTTTTGTAACTATTGTATTGGAGCGGGTCGCTCCTTAAATAAATGCATATATTAGTTAATAACTAAATGGAATCCTCTCTTTCTTTTTTCCCAGTATGAGACGCCTATGGAAGCCAACAGTACATAGACAGATAAAGCACATAGGCTATAGTTATTAACTAATATATGCATTTATTTAAGGCGCCAATTTATAATTGTAACAAATAGTATTTGAATAAAAACATTCAATCGGGTAAAACACGGGCGTTGCCCGGGTCATTCGGCTAGTAATAATAATAATATATATAAGGTTTAGGTAAAGATCCACTCGTGTAGAACATGGAGGTAAAGTCAGGTATTTCAGATAATTTACCTATAAATTCACAATATTACATTGTATCAAAATCATTTTTTAATCTACTTAAGTATTTTAAAAATATAAAAATCGAGTACCCCCCTCTATCTTTCTCTCTCCAAGAAACTCGATCTTATTTTTTAATTTCTTTTAAGATATAATATCAATGGTATCGGGTGTTCTTAAAATAATTATTTTCAGAAGATCAATTTGTGGACAGACGATAGAGAGCATCGCTATAAAGGTTACAAATGGAACATTCGTGAAAATATGGCGTCTGTTACTTTAATTACTTGAAGGATATTTAAATGTTGTTTTGATAATGTTATTCAATTAAAAAGGCATATATTGGATCAAAATATAATTTATTTTACCAATATTTCAGTTGGCTGAACGCCAACCTTTTCCAAAGTATTATAACATATTAATGTGTGAAAAAATAATACAAATGTGGTATTGTACTGGCATAAGGTGCATAAATTATGAAAAAGGCATCTCCTTATCGTGCAACTGAAAGTTGTTGATGGATTGCGCCATCTATCGGAATAAATATCAACTATTCTCGTTGATTTTTAATTATTCCAGAATTGGCCAAATACCCATTCTTGATTAATCACCACGCTGATGAGGGCCAACAGCCAGAAACGCGTCCGTGGTTAGGTTTTATTGATTAATCAAG